TTTTCATATGAGGGGAGGTTAATATTTCTAAAATTTTCTCTTGAAAAAAAAAAGAGAAGGGATCTGATTGAGGTGTTTAAGATTGTAAAGAGAATTGATAGTGTTGATGCATCATCTTTTTTCAAACTTAAGAGCAAGAATGGTAGGATTAGGAGACACAAATATACATTTTGGCAAGGTAGGAGTCATCTTCAGCTAAGGCAATTTTATTTTTCAAAGAGGGTGGTTGGTTTCTGGAATGGGTTGCCTTCAGATGTTGTGGAGGCAGTAAATTTAAGTGAGTTTAAAAGAAAGCTTGATGACTATATGAATGATAAGGTCTGGCTTTAAGATTTGTTGTTTTTTTTTAGTTTATTTATTTTATAGTTTTAGGTTAAATGCTGAAACAGCCAAGATGGACCAGTAGGTCTCTTATTGTCCCTAAACATTATGTTATGTTAAATGATCAAGGCTAGATTTTTTTTTAAGTGGATGTGACAGTCTTGCTGGAGCAACAGGCCTTTTGTTGTCCTCAAGTGTTATGAAATGAGTTTCCATCAGCAGGAATTAAGGCTGGCACCTCACAAGAGTTTAAAAGTGTGATCATGGAACCTTTAGTTTCTTGAAAAATAAAGGATGGATTTAATATTTGATTTTTATGATTCCTAGGACTGGGTGTGCAAAGACAGATTTGAAGGACCAAATGACTTATTTTTGTCTTTTGTTTGATACATCTTTTGACTTCTTTATAGTTCAGGTGTACTGATTTGAAAATCTTTCAATTGATAATTAATCAGTTTCCAGTAATTGGACAGATAATTTTGATTAGTTTACATGACACTAATTGATGTAATTACTACTTATTAGCAATGATTTATATCATCCAGTTCCAGCCAGCAGCATACATCTGACATATAATAATTCATTCGAAAAACTTAAGAGTGATATATGTTTATAAAAAGATAAAATAAATCTGAGCCTTGGTGATAACAGTCTCAGACTTTCTTAGGTAGGCACGTGTGTCACCTATAGTAGCTCAATAAAGTATGAGTGCTACTATATAAATAAAAAAGGTTATTTTACAATCCAGTCAGTTAAATCCAAATACATTTACCATGAAATCATATTTCTTGAAATCAAAAGAAGAAGAAATCTAGAAGTGTTAAATAAACAAATATTGTGGGTAAAAGTTATTGCTATCAGGATGATAAAAATTAGGAAATCAATAAATTTACAAGTAGAAGTAATGAAATTATGAATATTAATGCATTCAATATTTAGAGATTATACTTATACAAAGTGTATCAGGGTTTCACTTAGGGTTCAGTTGTATCCACAATTTGGCTCTAGTGGTTAAATAATACCAAATTGTGGCATACATAAATGTAAATTGAACTCTTCATCCTGTAAATGATAGAATTTAATATGTTATGGGAATTGCATATTGTGTAAAGGAAATATGCATGAAAGGATAACACATACTATTGTTATGCCTCCATTCATTAGTTAATTTTCCAAAAAAATCCTTTCTGAAGAAACTTAAGCGATACAAGTCCTTTCTTAAATAAAACTGGTTTATTCTTTCTGAATACAACTTTGCAATACACTTAATTTCCACAGTCACGCTATAAGAAACGCTATAATTCACAACGAACGTCTCACGTGCTCGACTCAACTGTCAGTTATGCATATTGTTGCCGTCACTTCTTGGCGGCTTATATATACAAGACTACCGCATATCTAGTAGCCTCTCGAGACTTCAGGAAGGGACAGGATCCCTCTAGAAGTTCATGACGTGTTACTAGTGTCACGTGACTCCCACTGTCGTAACACTGCCCCTTCCTTAGTATTGTTCGTCCCGAACAATAGCCACTTACATTAAACCAATAAACAATTAACAATAACTTAATTAAATGTACAGAATTTACAAACACAAAATTAAAATTCAACAAAGTCTCTTAATTTTACGGGACGTATCTTCTTCCGTACTGGTCTCCGTCTCGTTGGCTTCTGCTTCATGTGGGGTTCATCTGCTTCATCAGGAAACATCCTATCATTGGTAACAGTCACATCAGTGGTAGTAACTTCATCAAGGGCTTCACTGTTTCCCTTCTCCAAACCGAGTAGAGTTCCTTTTTCGACAGTGGCTTTTTCAAGTGACACATCTTCAGCAGCATCATTTGTTCCGATGTTCACTTCGTCCCAACTGAAATGTCCTGGACCATGATAACGCCAAAGCTTGTTGACATGCACCACCTTTGGCTTACCTCGCTGACCACATTTTATCCGGAAAGTCACGTCTGAGAGACGATCCACTATGTCATATGGGCCTTCCCATGGAGAAGACAACTTAGGAGACTTTCCTTTGGTCTTCCTTGGATTATACAACCACACCTTGTCTCCTGGTGCAAAGCTGACTTCAGTAGATCTCTTATCATAAGATAACTTCATCGAATCAGCAGACGTTTTCAAGTTTGAACGCACTTGATGGTGAATATCATCCATCCTTTCCGATAACACTTTCACAAATTCTGACACATTTGCAGGCAACTCTTCATAAGGTGGGCGTCCTGTTAACAGATCCACTGGCAACTGAAGTTTCCGACCAAACATCAACTTTGCTGGAGTGTTTCCAGTGGCTTCATGCTCTGATTTAATATCTATTAACTGTTAAAAGAGAGGTTGAACTAATTAGGTGTCATCAAGCTGAAGTCAAAGTGACTGAAGGAGTTGATGATGGTGAAATGGAACCAGGTCCTAGAACTTGGCCTTTGTTGTTCCCAAACGTCATTTTATCAAAATGAATTACAAACTTCCTCGGTAGTAAGTAGTCCAATCCTAATATGCATTCGTCTTCAATGTCAGCCAAGTATACTTTGTGTCTGTCCTTTATGCCCATGAGCTCAATAGTTACCCACACTGGTCCCCACAACGTTGCAGAATGTCCTGTCACACCACAAAGCTTCTGTATGGCTTCTGGTACTCCTTCATGATCTAACACCTTGATGCTCACAAGGGTTTGCTGAGACGCAGAATCTATGACAAAGTTGCACCTTTGGCCATCCAGCTTACCTGTCACATAGGCACAGTTGTTGGGACTTTCATGATGGGGTTTGTGAGTGTCCCTTAACACCAACCACTATTAGTCTCCTTGAAGCTGACTTGTTGGTAATATTCTTCTTGCACTGGGTCCTCATATGTCCTTGCTTTCCACAGTTCCAACAACCTTTCTGGGTAGCAGCCTTTCCTGCCATGGCATTTCCCCT